GTATTTCTATTGGGAAATGAAAATTTCTAAGTTTGAGCGGACGACTTTAGTTTTAAGAAATTATTCAATTTTCCTAACTCCTAGATTTGGAACTCTTTTGCCAGAAATTGTTTTACTATTAATTTTTTTTTCATCGTCTCCTATTACAATAATATTATCAACATATATAAGGAGAGCTGTAATTCCATCTGACTTTAAGTGCTTGATAAACAATGTGTTGTCTTATTGAGCTTACTTATATCCCAAGTTTATTATTATCTTTGCAAATTTGTCTAATCATACTCTAGGCGATTACTTGAGTCCATAGATTGTCTTTAAGAGTTTACATACTTAATTTGATCTTCCCCCTCTGGCAAATGCTGATGAGGTTTCTATATAAATTTCTTCTTTAAAATCTCGATGTAGGAATACATTCTTCACATCAAACTTTTGTGCTTGCTAATCAAAATGAGCAACTAAGGACAATAAGATTCGTGTTGTGTTTATCTTGGCTACTAGTGCAAATATTTTTGCTAGTCTATATCACTATATCATAGGTCTTGGTATACCTTTTACTATAAATCTTGCTTTATACATTTTGATTGTCCATATAGCTTGTATTTTATTGTCAACATCCACTTATAACCCACAAGTTTTTCCCTTCGGGCAAGTCAACTATTTTTTATATTTGGTTCTTTTCTAATGTCTGCATTTTAACATTCATAATATTTTTCTACTTCTTACAAAATAATGTCTCAGAGACAATGTTAGAGATAAATTCAATAGTTAAACTTAAAATGAAATTTTAATGAGACTAGGAATATTTATTAAATGATATAAACTGTGAGATATGATGAAAAAGATGTTTAGTGCATTCCTTAGTTCCATTACGAAGTGCAATTCGTATATCATCATCAGACTATATAGGGTTTTCAGGATTTATCTCAGTTATAAAATTTGTGTCTGATGCGTGAACCTGCTTTAGTTTAGAACTCATTCTTCTTCCTTGTGTACCCTTGAGTGAACTTGGGGTCAGGTATAGTTTCTTGAGTGGGTGGGTTCTTTAATGGTTTCTGAGAGTTTTCTTGTGGTGGTGTTTGAGTATGTGGTAAAGGTGGTAGGTTAACATGGGGTGAACTTGAGGTAAAGGGCTTTCTTTGGCTTAGAACTTGAATTCTTCCTCCTTGTGTACACTTGAGCGAACCTGGATTTATGCATAGTTTCTTGAGTGGGTGGGTTCTCTAGTGCATATTAAAGTTTTCTTTTTGTGATGTTTGAGAGAGCAAATGGTTTATAACACTTACTTCTGGGTAGAATGTTCAAAGAATTTGTAGAGGCTTTTTGAAATCTAGGACACTTGAGGTAAATGGTTAATAATATGACTGTAAGGACTGCTTCGCCCCAATACAGTCTTGGGACATAGTTGTGGAATAGAAAAGTTCTAGTTGTCGAAAGAAGATAATCATGTGATCTTAGTGAATTATTAATAAATGATGCAAATCATTGAGTTTTAGAAATATTGAAAATGTTGTATGGTCCCTAAAAATCATTATAAATTAAAGAAAATAGAATTATACTTTTTTTATTGTTAGTAGAAAATGTTACACACTTATATTTAGTAAATTTACATAAATTGCATAATTGATTTTTAAATAACAAAGATCATGTAACTTTAAAATGGAAACGGATGGATCACCAAGACTTTTATGGTAGAGACAAAACTGATCTTGAGGGTTAGCAGAGATAGCAGAGAGAGGTCTCTCAGGTGCATCCAAGTAGTACAGC